TTACTTATGCAGTACTCATAGACGTCTCTAAAAGTACTCATCTCATGAGTACCGCTGCGGAAAACTTGTATGAGTAACTCGAGTACTTTGTACTCACCCATGACTCATAAGGATCTCCCTATGAGTACATGTTACTCATAGGCCATGAGTTAACTCGAGTAACGAAAAATGTACGATACTCACCCATACTTACCCATCTCATGGGTTATTACCCAATACTCATCCGGTCTGGTCTGTGAACTCCTTGCATCCTTCCAATTTATGAAAAGTATATACGTCGTCATATTCGCTGCATTGTGTAGTTTACATGAAAAGGAATATTACAATAGCTAAAAAATGAATTAAGTCGGTAACAAAATGACTTTTTCTAAAGTATCAGCTCAATGTTATTTTCGATCGCAAAATAGAACTATGATGCATACAAGCAATGCATTCTACAGAGCTAAGAACATCTTCATTCCATTCTCTTACCCAAAGATCGAGTGGTTTGGTGTCTCCACATAAACCCAAATGCAAAGTATAATGAGCACAAAAGCAAGCCAAAAGTTACCAACAATGTTGCCTTGATCCGTCAAACTCTTGTGACTCCAACCAAAGTACGTTTGTAAACTCATACGAACCATTGGACCAAGTTGACTAGCAAGAAATCCACCAAGAAATAACGAGGCAAAGTATAAAGGTGTTCCGTGAGTCGTAGCTGCGTTATTGTAACCTGCAAAGTAGCGTACGGTATCCCACACCATTCCAAATACCATGATAAGAAACACAAGTAAATTTGGTAATTCCATGATACTATTACCACCCAATGCACCAGTGTTAGCCCAGGATGCCTCTTTGCCCGTAATTTTCCAATAAATTGTTTCAAACACTGCCATTACATGCACAAAAGCATACGAAAACCAAGTTTGTTGACTACGTAACACATCATCATTATCAACAGTTCGATTTGACAAAGCTGACAAGATACTTTGTGCAACAATCTTAGGTACCAATGCCATCAAAAGACGTAGCCCGGAAGTATAAATTGGAGCTTGACCCGTATACAAAAAGTATCCAGTGATGTAAAAGAAGAAAATGGCAGGAAAGGAACCAATTGGGTAGACGGTAAGATTCATGAAAAAGACCCAACGCATGAATTTGTTAATCTTGCGTTTTGGTGGTAACTCAACTTGAGGAGGTTGCCATTCTGGATCGACAAGACTCTTTTTATTGCGTAGAAAGATCTGAAAATTACCTTTTGCCCAACGTTTACGTTGCGCAAGAGCAGCAGCAACTGATTCTGGGACAGCTCCTTCTGCAAGTCGAATCCGATCTGCTTCTTCACCTTCTAAATCTTTCCGAAAGTAATATCCTTTCCATCCTTTATCTACCATCATTTTACCAGTGTATGCATCTTCCGTTAAGGATCCATATTGAATACCAGACACTGAATCAAGTGCTTCTCGTCGAAATATCGCATTGGTACCAGCAAATGAAGCACAATCGTACCCATCCATTCCAGTTTGTGCTGAGTCAAAGAAAGTGGAATTACGATGACCACATGGATCACCAAGACGCAATTGAAGACAATCTTCAAAGTATTGAGGAGTTTGAACATATCCCACTTGATTCACTGAGACATGGTCCGAGTAATCATCTGCCGAGACACCAACAAATTGATTCGTTTCTCGTCGACTAACGGCACGATTACACTTACGACATAACCCTTTTTTATGATTGATCTTACTACCACAACTTGCACACATCATACGTTCTGACATGGTATTTTGTGTCTGTCGACGATGAACACTCGATTTGACGTGACCCGAGGCATTGTAACAATCTTTGGAACAAAACATAATTTGTACTTCGGGTACACCTGCTGCTTGGCATAAAGCACAACAGATTTTTCCACTATCACCACATCCAGGGGCACAACAACGCATGATTTTGGTACTTTGTGGTGCATCAAAGAAAAATGGTAATGTCGCTTGAATAAACATCTCATGGGGTTTCATATCATTATCAAGAATAATTGCATATCGTCCACATGCTCCTTCATTGTATAAAACATTATTGATGTTTCCAGCTTTTGAGTGATGTACTCGTGGTTTGATTCGACCAACAAATGTAAGTTTCGGAAACCCATGATAATGATAATCATCTCGTACTGATCCAACAGCACAATCAAGACGATTAACAAGTCGTGGATTTATAATCGTTGGCATTTTTACTGTCGTATGCTCTTTACGCCATTCATCCACTTCAAGTTCATACGATTCACAAACCCGATCATACATAAATTGTGCCACTTCATGACGAACATCACCAGCATCTTCAATAACCCCGTGATTTACACTTACTTTAGGTACTTGAGCACCCGATTCCCAACTTGCTTTACAATACCCATCATCACAAATCCATACATGAAATAAATGTGGAGGATAATCAAGATTCATAATTCGTTCTAATGTCGCAATCGTATCTTCAGCAGGTTCTGCATAGTGACATAATAGAATATCGACTGTTGGCCACTGTAGAAAAAAAAAGATAAAAGTCATTTCAAGATGTAAGACAAAGTTGAAAAACAACATGCACGACTGACCTTTTCAGGTGGAAAATGAGGTTCAAAATCTCGTAGATATCGAGCACCACGACGAACTGGTTTCCACATTCCGAGGTAATAGAGAATTCCAAGAGTAATACTGATAAATTCCGAGAGATAGAATAGGAAATACGAGACCCAATCAGCCACATGAGGTTCCTTAAAACACTGGACTGTTTCAATTCCAGCTGACCAATGGTACCATTGAGGTGGATCCCACATACCATTAAATGGTTTATCACCACATTGTAGCGAGTCTGCGTACAATAATTGAATCTCTTCACATGTGTCCGTACGATATTTCACATCGCATGGTTCAATACCCAATGGAAACCATAGAACAATCCCAGCCAATTCAACTAAAGCCGTAATGATAAATATGAGATACCAAAATCGATAACTCGAACGGCCTTTCATTTCATACACTCGAACATTTGGTAATTCACGTTTCACAACATTTCCAGAACCCGCTGACATGACAGTAAATTCAAGTGCATCAAACCACATTGTAAAATCTTGATCCGTTTCAGGACATACAAGCCACGCACGATGACGTGTATGGATGACAATGCCACGAGCTGGTAAATCAAGACGTTCACTTTGTTCAAGTTTAAAAGCATCACGTAGATCAATGGCACCAACCACAAGTTCCCCATTACGTGAATTAAAATACTTTCGACAGTCGACATCACTATGGAAATAGTAGATTTTCGCGCCTTCTAATGCAAAATAGCGTTTACGCCAACTTTTCGCCACGGGACCTTTAAACTTTCGACTTCCTTGTTTATGCATCCATCCATGCACTGAGATTTTTCCCAATTCTTCATGAATTTTCGCTTTCGTAAGCTCATGAATAGTGTTTTGAGTCTCCATTGTCGATGATGCAAGTAATTTCTTACCCGGCGCCGCCGCCGCTGTGAGTTGTTCGTGATATTGCACGCTTGAGAGAGGCGTTTGACTATACTGAGCGTCGTCTGGCAGCGCACTGGGTCGTGAACCGTCCCGATTGGTCATGATGGGGATGAAGAGGATTCCTTGAGACTTTCTCTGTGTTCCAAACGTTTGAGTTCAGCGAACAAATCGAGTTGGCACTGTACAGATAGGAATTCCTGTCTTTTTTAATATGTTCGGACACAAGAGAATGTTGATGATTACACTTTGGATTTGCCAAATTGGTCTTGTCAGATTTTATACAAAAATCTTATGAGTCTGGCTCTAGCAAGTTCAAGAACCAGAAAAAGGCTTGTACCCACCTTTGTGTCGCAATCTGAGCATACGCATGTGTGGTATAGACAAGGTTGGAAAGTTAAAGAATAGAAAGTGACTGATGACGTGTCAATCGTCAGGACATGCTTTTACGAGCAGTAGCAGTAGCACTTTCCATTCATCGTAAAAGTATGCTGTTAGTAGCTTGATTTCATGTGCTTTGAAAAATAGTTCAATATTATATAAAGTTTTAGGAAAACATGTGGGACACACCACATTCAAAAAGACTCTATTTCAGTACTTTTTCGAAAACAGGATAAAAATTGTCAACATGCTGGACACTTACAGAGAGAGTAATCGTGACTAAGACAATAGCCGAGTCGTTTAAAAAACATTGTGCGCAGTGTTTTTAACGCTTAGCTTTGTGTCCTACGTTAATGAAATTGAAGTAGCGGTAGATGAAAAATCTCGCTCATGTACGTCATACAAACTGAGCTTCATTATTACATGCCTTGCTAATTTAAGTCATTTGAGCTGGTAATAATGATATAAGCCGCGACATCACAGTGTCGACTCTAGGCAGATCTCTTTCACTTATCTTGAATACAAATAGCAAGCTGACTCTTTCACGCCGCATCCCTTTGGAAATGCTGTAACAAACTGCATATTACAAATGGCGTATACTTCAATAAATCGATACATAAAGTAATTCACTAATTAAACAATAAATTTAAAGTCAAGGGGTCAAGATTGTAAATAGTCTTGGTCATAGATCCAAATAGAATTTGTCGACTTTGGCCAAATTGAGTTTGATATGCTTCAAAGCTTAGAATTACGACAAATGGGAATTTTGTGTGCAATAGGCATAATACTAAATATTGGACAGCAATCTGAAATTTACATTTGTTCAATTGTAATTATCGAGAATATCCAAATTAGACTTTGTGAAGGAGAAGGTCGAGCGAAGTATGTCAAGCTTATATGTTCTGTATTTGTTTCGTAGTCTTAAATATATGTCACTCTTAGAATAGATAAGAACCCAAGGTAACAAGTTAACTTAGAGTCTCTCGGCTCCGCTCCAGGGTGAAGCATACGATCCTCTTTGCGCTTTATAAGCGAACTTTTTGTGTAATGGGATTACACTTTCCTTTCACAAAGGATCAAAGAGTCTGCGTTTATAAACGAGGGGTTGTACGCTTCGTCCAGGAGCGGAGTCGAGGGTTTGATACAATCACTAATTTGCTCGACTGAATTCAAGAGCGACATTTTCCTTCGGACTGATTCTGTTCTGTTTTGAATATTTGCGTTTCACCAATCCTCATGATAATGCTGCCTTCATTACTTGATGTGTCGCTAATAGCCCACATGTACCATTGGCCGCTTGTTTACGTTGTTGGATCATCTTCGCCAACACCAAAATTCAAAATTTGAAAGTTTTGGAACCAGATTCCCACAACTCGCCAAATATTTCAGATTCACTACAAAATTGAAGCACCACAGCAGCTCGAGTAAGAACGACATCATTTTCGGAGCGCAATTTTGGAAACCCTGAGCTCCGATATTATTCCGCACGAGGCACTTGACAGAGCAACTCTCTTAGGTATTGAAGAGAGAATTGATCGCAGGAATCGACAAACCGAGCATGAACGATCTGGGTCCTTGAAAAACGCGTGAATCGATACACTTCGTCTAACGTGTGTCCAATGGGGACGAAGTTAAGAGCGAGCATTCGGTCGACGTTGAACTGTTATCTGTACTCATCAGCTTGTTTTGCGGCGGCTTCGATCTCTGACTTTCGTAATTGATTAGACTTCAGCTCGTACGCGACTCGGACCCCATTGGTGATAAGAATATCGGCTCTCTTTCGGCTGCCTGGAGTGTTTGCTTCAGCATAAATAACCCCTGGTCAGTGCAACCTTTCCCGAATTGTGGAGTACAGCTCGTGATGAAATGCCGACTCACACATTTTGAACCAAGGCTCTCATTCATGCCACTCCAGAGTCCACTTGTCGTTATCAACCGTAAATCGAATCAGCGACACAAATACACCGGGCGCTCCACTTATATACTTCATGATTCCACATTGAAGAGACTGAGAGAACTCATAGCGCGGCTCAATAAGCTAGAAAAACGCACTCATTTGTTCCACTGAAAATGGCACTATCTTAATCAGGTTGCCAACGTTAAAAAGCTTGTCTTGCCGTCCCCGCAAAAGACTTCGTGATAGTGTACCAACTCATGACTTCCGATCCCAAGAAAACCACGAAAATACGGTGCTGCTTTCCACTTTCGAAGTGCCAGCAGAAACTTGGCAGCCAACTCTTAGTTCGAAAACAGATGATCCATTTTATCCACAATCAGACACAACTACTTTCGGTCTTGAGTGGCAGATTCTTCCACCAACTGCAAAAACGAATCATAATCGCAGCCTGCATATCGATTATCAATGCACCTCCCCAATCGATTCCAGAAAGTTCCTTCTTCAGCCACATCAGATTCAGGCATTTCAAAAAAGACGTACTTGACATTCGCAACGCTGATATCACTAGAAATCCAGTCCATGATGCGATACGCAATTGTTGTTTTTGACGAGGACCGAACAATAGGAACTATGGGTGGCCGACGATCTCTTTTCTTGAGATACCCTTCTTGACCTGTCGATAGGCGTCTATTGTATCAAATGAAACGGCAGCTTCATCCCGGTGCAATGGACCTGTGAGTGAGATGCGGATCAGCTCCAATCTTTGCTTCTTGTTTGGTGGTTCCTTCGCCTTCCCATCACCGGCCGCCGCGCCACCAGCACGTGAATCTCCTTGCGTCCAGGCGTGAATCTCGGCCCAAACAACTCCGTTTTGTTAAGCTTCCACAACGGACGCATATCCTCGTACTCGGAGCTGATGCCACCTTGCAAAACTTTTTTACATGGCGATCATCCGCCAACCACGTGGTTTCCCCTTCTTTCCTAGCATTAACTTTGCTGGATCAACTTTGAAGCAATCATTGACGTCTTTCTTCTCGTTCACAATGGCCTTCTGCAGCGACTCGACATCTGCATTGCGCTTGATCTCGACGGAGAAAACGCTCCCTTTTCCGTACACGCCGCAGCGCAGCTTCATGCTCTGCTCTTTTCCTCCGCCATGTTCAACGCTTGAAAAGTTCTTCACAGCGACAACACATTGCATTTTAAGCTAATCAGATCACTTCAAAACAATTATTTTTATTTCTTAACAAATATCCCTCCCTCAATATATTGAAACTAAATAATAGTAAGTTCTTCTTGAGCGAGAAAAATAAATATGTAGAAATACAAGGTACAAGTACGTCTTCCCAGAAAATTCAGCCAACAATGCGGCTCAAAAGGCGATTGGTACCGATACCACACGAAGTATCAGCCAGCGGTTGCTGAACCAGTAGTTGCAGAACAGTAGTTGCTGAACCTGCAGTTATGAGCTTGCAGTTGACAAGTCTATTGAAGAAATTGATGGTGAGCATTGCATTCAGCACATCAAATCTGTTAATATATACAATCAACCCAAGTTGAGGAATTCATCTGACGTATTAACGTCAGATGACTGGACAAAGTCGAATATGCACACAGTTGGTGATTCCATCGACTACAAGCACAGTGACAATGTCACGCCTGACTTTGAAAATGACGGATACACGTACAGGAAAGAATGTGAATCGTTTGAACAAGCAAACGCTGAATGCGGTGTGGAAAACTGCACACACGTGCGCACATAGGTGCTCGTCCATTTGTACAGCCAATATTGGTGACTCATAGAGTTGTACGTTTTCTCACGACCGAGAAAAGTCTTACGATGAGCGATCATATAGTTCATGCATGATGATTCGAAGTGACGGGTTCTTCAACAACCAAAACGTGTGGAACCTTTAGAAATTCTTTGCTCGTCAACCTCATTCTGATTGGCATTTGATACGCAAGACTTATCTTTGTGTGCTCAAACAAAAAGAAGAGCGATTCAAGAAGAATTTTGCCACCAAAACATTCGATGGTTGGCTTGATATTAAGTATAATTCAACACTGAAACGAAGGTAAACTGAAAGAAATGACTGCTGGTTGTAATTATGTTGCATACAAGCAATGGAAGAATGAATATAAAGTCAATGAGCCAAGGGAAACATCTACTTTGAAGACGTTTAAGCTTTCTACACTTGATCTTGACAGTCAAGTCTGAGCAGAAGTTGGCAATACTAACTCAACTGGTGAAACTAACTGGCCGAACAATTGGTGACATGCGTTCAGCCATGATTGATACACCATCTGAGAGAAATGAGCTTGTATATTGGGCGGAAAAGTATCTAGTGATCGAGAACAAACGTCTTTGAAGGATCAGACATCACCTACTACAAGCGAAAGCCAACAGAGGACAATAATTCTGTGATCAAGGCATATGATCCAAAGAATTTCTTCAAGGTGCAAATTCAGTTCATTAATAACAAGAAGCCACGTTTCACAAACCTGACTGACTTTCTTAATACGGTTTCATTACACAAGTTTGCAAAAACTGTCTGCAAATGGGAACATGATCCAAATAATATGGAGACATTCAGCTTAGCGAATCCACTACTGGCAAAGGATCTTTACGAAGAAATTACAAATTCGACTTGCACCCAGTATTAGTCGATTATCTGAAGCGTATCATTTGCTTCAATCATCCTGAGAGTTACTAGTGGTTGATGGAGTATATCGGTAGCCTTTGTCGCTATCCAGACAGCAAGACGAAAATTTTGCTCGTGTTATATTCAACGGAGAAGCAGAGGGGGAAGTATAACCTCTTCAAGCTTCTCATGAGTGTCTTGGAACGGCAAGATTCACATGCGCTGGATCTGCAGTCAATCTCAGTTCATTGTCTGGAGGACATGAAAAATAGCAAAATGTAATCATACGATACAGTAAAACCGTATAAGCCTCTTATCAGCCTTGATAAAATCAACTCGTAATACATGGCAATTTGAAGGGTCAGATAACTGATGCTCAAAACTTCAAATGCAATAGTCACTCGTTCAAATTACCAGCTATAAAAATGCGCTGGTTTATTATTTTTAGTAGGGAACTAATTGCATTTGCCGCGAGACCGCTGATGTAAGAATTCCAGCTTTTAAGGACCGGTACAAAGAACATTGTGACCTCTGAACGAGTAGTGCTGAGAGACCATAAGATCTGTCATAGTCCACACGTTGTAATAGCGCATCGCGCTTCCTGTATCCAAATAGGCGGTCGTGTACTAGAATGGGCACAAACAACATGCAGTATCTCTTTGAAATGACGATGCTGATATGAGAAGTTTCAAGTCGACACATGTTGCGGAGTTTCACACCGCCCACCCAGGCGTGAAGGAAATGTTTATGTTTAAAATCATCAGGAGGTGGGAACTAGCATACTATATCCAGAATTTATCTCTATCATGGCTACAATAGCGTCATACCGTCTTTTAGGGGCGGTAAACTGTATAATCTATATAAAGAGTCTCCCAACAGGTGCACCTTGCGCCTAGACTTCCCGTACCGCCCTACTTCATTCGAGATATTGGTTGGTGATACGTTGACGTGAGAATAAAACATTAGTGCAGAAAGGGCTCGACAAAATGCTAGAAATGTAAGCTCTATGAGGTGGTAAACTTCAGCCATGCAGAAAGAAATGCATGGATCTTTTGGCTGCTGTGCAGCTCTGCGGTACATTCGGGTGTTTTATTTGTGGTATTGCCTCTTGCACACCCCTTCGCTCTCGGCATAATAGTGTGAAAAACGTTTTTGGCTAATTTGGGCGGCGAGATCCTTGTGGGCGAGCGCCAAGTTCCAGTACTGCCGATTTACGTTAGCTGGGAATGAATTCAGGATTGGGTCTCTCGTGCGTGTCGTCGTTGATGGGTCAAAGCCTCACACGGAGCTACTCTCTATACAAGTGGCTGGTCCACAGTCCAGGGTATTTAGCTGCTAGTTTTAACATTTCGAAATGTGTGACGCCGTGGTTCATAGTGCACTACAGCTCGCTGCTTGCGTACTGGGCGAACCATCCATTCTTCTTCGCCGTCCCTTCCTGGTGTGCGTGGTGCTTCTTCACGTCTTCATGTGCTCTCTTCTATCGGTGTGGCATCGTAGGCGTGTTCATGATCCGTCATGTCTTCTTTTATGTCAATGACATCAATGGAACCTCTCTCCCTGGCTGGAGACTTTGCTGCGGTATGGTTTTCCGCAAACGGAGCACTTTGCGAGATCACAGTCGATCCATCGCTTGTATTCAACAGCCGATACGCCTTGTGCTGTCTAGAGTAGCAAAAAAAATAACACTCTAACCCCGTGTCATCTAATTTCTTGCGTGTTTGCTTTGAGCATAACATTGGCTATTAAAGACACGCATATGTTCCATACGCGGCTATCTCCTAAACACCATTTCGAACGGACTTGAGTCTGGGTTCGAAGCATTCGGCAATACATTGCGAATGTCTGCAGCAGTAATCATTGCTTCACACCAATATGACTTGTCCAAGCTGCTGTTCTTTAGCATGCAGCGCGTCATCTCTACTAAAGTGCGATTAATAGGCTCAGCCATTCCGTTCTGTTCAGGGTTGTATGGCACAGTGTATTCTTGCTTGCTATGGGCATACTTGCAGAATGCACTTATCGACCCATTCTTGTATTCGCCACCATTGTCGCTATGCAGTGCATCCACGTTCATATCGACTGTCGTCGTGAGTTCGTTGTAGAATTTGCTGAACGCTTCTATTAGTTCGCTCTTCTTTACCATCGGATACCACACAGTGGACCGACTCTTCATCAAAAGATCCTCACGACGTACTGATAACCCGACATGGACTTTGATGTGATCGGTCCGACCACATCCGAGCACATAACGTTGTCGTTGCGCGCACTCTCTCTGGCTTCACGCTCCTCTACACCTGAATTAAAAGTTTTTTGCCGCACTTGTTTCGCAGTCGCACATATACCACATGGGTATATGAACACATTCGGCAATCCCTTGATTGCACCATCTCTATCAGCTTGTTTACCGCTTGATTCGATGCGTAACCAAGTCGACGATGCCATAGCATAGCTTCATCTTCAACCATATGACACTCACCCGTAGTGTCAGTGTTCAGATAAATGAGCTCTTCATCTCCAGTACTAACCGCTCGAGCTTCACCACATGTTCACTGATGTTCGTAGCGGTGTACCTGAGCGAGGAGAACTTTTCCATCAACCACTATCAATGAACCATGTTTCTTATTCGGTGGAACCCTTCAAGCGTCGATCATGACTCATGCGTATCCTTCGCGCGTTGACTACATGCATGAGCTGTGAATCATTCAGATTCAACACGATCGCTGCATGTGCTTGCTGCTTCTTCGTTTCAGCAACAGCTTCTCATAGTCCCTTGAACATGAGATGCATCTTCGTCTTGAAAATTCATGTTGTAAAGGTGGAGCCGTCAAAGAGCTCGATTTTGATGCTATCTTCGTTTATTGGGCTCATAACCTGTTTAAAATGCTGAAGAATTATGTACTTGACTTGTTATCCACCGAGCTGCACTAATGTGTTACTACGGCTTTGCACCTTTAGCCCACACAACTACAACCAAGTTGGCGTCTATGAATGGACTAGCGGGACAAGCACAATAAAATTTAAACGCAGACCTAGTCTCAGAGTTGGTCGTGTGATCAGGACAAGTTCGGCAAGCACAGACACTTATAGGCTGCTGCCACGATCAACGTTGAGAGTGCAGCGACAGGGAGAGGAGCTTGACTTGAGTAGTTGGGGGGGGGAATTGATATGTAAATGCATTTTGTTTAAAGCCCATAGTTCGCTAGCGCTACCTCTAAGCCTTCTAGTCACAACAGATTTTTTTTCATCTAGCCAATCATATATCGTATATCGAACACGTGTACATAGTGCCCACAATCATGTGTATCGAGTGGCAATCAACACAGGTAAACATTGAATTAACCGTGTGTGATGTTCTCCACACTAATTACGAGAACGCTGCACCATCACTCCTTTCAACACTTGAAAGGTGATGCATATCCTGGACTTAATTCCGTCAAATATCAGCTGCACTCGAGGTGGCTTGCGTTCCATTCAAATACAGACTTGTGAATTTAGCCGTTATTGTTTCCAGCTTGTATGTTCCAATTGGAGCAGTCGAGCCAGAATTTACGTTTTAACTTGCATCAATCCAGACAGCAGCTGTGCTATTACTTGCCGATCCGAACGCATGATTGCTAGTCGTACATAATATTGGTGCAATGTTGCTCATATATATATCAACAACCATATTTGTAGCCAATGTGTTATTCCATCTGGAATAGCTAATAAGACTCGTTGTATTGTTGTTACTGTTAGTAGTGATAGTGTTAGTAGTTGTCAACGAGCTCAAGCCGAGGTAGTATTTGGCTAAAAAGCGGTAGTCAACGTTCCGGAGATATTTCCAGATACTGTCAATAGTTCAATGAACCAACACGAGTTGTACTAAGCTGCGCTGCAGCGGTCAACGCTCCAGATATATTTGCAGATACTGCCAATGAGCTCAACGTACCAGCGCTAGTAATATTCGGTTGCGCGGCAGTGGTCAGCGCTCCAAAGATGTTTTCAGATAGTGTTAGTGAGCTACCGTCCGCACAGATGTAATATTTGATTGTGCAGCAGTTTGAAAAGTACCAGTCAAGTTTGTGGCTGTTAGATTCCGGAACGAGCTGATGTCTTTGTTTGATCGACCATAACAAGCTTAGATCCTGTGACTATTCAGCTAGCAGCCCACTTGTCCCACTTCATTAGCACCGGTATTTTGAGACTTTTGTACACTCTACACAAAAATATTCACTTCATGCAATTAACAACATTATATGTTTAATTGAACAGAAGCTTGAGATGTTCTACATTGTTCACACTGCGCTGTCGTGTACAGTACACGATCGATTACCGCCTGTGTCTATTGCTGTACCCAATTGATTCAAGGGAATGACGACCTACGGGTCGGATGACTTAAGTGACGACTGAAGTGCATTGTCCAGCTATGAGAATGTGCTGGTAAGAAACCATTCACCATGTGGACAATGGTGCTGACATCTCAACCTCTGATGACCCTTTAGAAGAGAAATATCTATTTTTTAGACCAAGTATAATCACAAGCTATAAAAACAGTTCACCGCGCGTTACGCTTGCAAATTGCACGCTAGGAGGCCGCACGCACGATTAGACACTTACATGCAGTGGTTCTGTTTAAAAGGCGGCCCTCGCATGGGAATATTTGAAGAGACATATTTCGCGAAAGCTCAGACCTCTAACTAGGTGTATAAGGTGCGTACAGAGTTCTTTTCTCATTCTTCAAGAATGGCGAGAACAAGTGGACAATGTCAAAGATTTAAGAGCTCCCATCACCTCGATGACGCCATACCGTCTTTGAAGAGTAGAAACAGTGGTTATCGCCACGAACGGTCTTCAGACGAGTGCGGCTTAAACGAGACGTTTCGTATCGCGCTACTTCTTCCGACGAAGCGGTGAGCGTATCATAACATGTGGAATAAACCTTGTTGGGGTGTCGAGATTGAAAGATTTTCAAACGCGAATATAGCGATAATCTAAAAAATGTTGATAGGTAAATATCAGCTGCTGTGCAGCCCGCAGTATTTGCAGCTGATTTAATGGGGTAGAACAAAGCATCCGCGTTCTGCGTGCCCGTTTGCTCTCGCAAACTGATGCAAAGAGATGGGCTTACAAGAAGGTTTGTCTGCGGGGCCCCCTTGTGGTTCAATGACGCTTCATAGTAAGCCGATCTACACCAAACAAACGTAATTAATGAGACTACTTTTCAAAATACAAGTCTGGGGTGCTTCGCCCACAGATCAAGATAGCTAGTTGTAAGCATCGACATTTCAGGCTCTGATAAGCCTTGATGAGTCCTGACGGACCCAGTATAATTATAGACGACAAGCGTCTGTCAACAACAGTGGACTATTCGCAGAGATATTGACGATTTCAAATACTGGTATGAAGTTCGTTTAATTTGCGACGGGGACACCGGTGACAGTGTTGAGTTTCATGCTTTACTTTCAAGTGAGGTTCAATGGGTCTGACAACATGGAGCGTTGACTTGTTTTAAATGCGGGGTCAAGAAAGAATCTCACATCTGATATGAAGTAACTGAATTGCCACAATCAATCGATCGACTACGCGTAAAAAAACGTGGAAGCACGCATTCATCGCCGGGCAATACCAAAATGAGCTTTACATTCACGTTGCCCAGAAATGTCTCATCAATTCCAGGCAAAGTTGCTGTCGCTTCTGCCAGGACATGACGTTGTTCAAATTAGATAACACTGGTACTGCCAGAAACCTGAGCAAATCGTGGATGGCAGAAGCGGCAGTGAGCTGAGTCTCAGGATGATACGATTAAAAACACTTGCACATCGTGGTGTCCAGATTTGTTCTCTTCTGAGACAAGAATATCCGACTGGATATCGTGGCTCCCAGAGTGTACCGTGAATGTGTCAATAGAAAGAAGCTACGATGTGTTGTCTCCTTTGCCAATGATAATGGTGAATGAATGTGACTGCGTGTTGCAGTCTTCCGTGCCACAGCCGTTAGATTTACAAAGCAATTGTAAATCACAAGTAGAAGGACCAAATCCTGAAGACAATTAGAGTGTTTTCTTCTTGTAAAGATGTGACAGTACAGCTGGGTCAGCAGCACCTTGCGATGGGTCCACCGAGCAAAGCAGTGGAGCTGCACGAGACTAATGGCGAGAACTATTATTCTCTAGTGGATGGATAGGCTAGGTTATTTTTTGGAGAGTTGTAGAACCAAACTAATACATCACGTGGATGCGTACAAAAGATCACAAGACGACGATATCACCAACATGATGGCATTTGTTTTTGGGAGGAGGGGCTGAACTCATAATTCGTCTTGATGGATCTATCATTGAGGACACTTCAAATGCACTGCGTACAGGATGTTGGGCAGCTGTTTTAAGGATCGTATAGATGGTCGTTATCCTTTCTAGAAGGATCGACACGACGTGAAGATGGAAGATCCTCCACATGCTTATATTGGACATGACAGCAGTGCATCACAAAATCAACTTGTTTCTCGGAATCAAGTTGCGCCTAGACGCAACATGTGTTGCGTTTTAGATTTCTTGATGAAGGAAGGAGCAAAGAAAACTTAGATATTGCTTTAGCTAAGCGCACGACTGCACGCCTCCATCGTTATTACTTATCCAAAAGCTTGCTTTGTTGTAGCACAAACAAATTTGACACTTAATGTGAACTGATTTTTATCTGATCGGGACCTCAAGTACAGAATATGGATGGTATAAGGCCCATGATCCTTCCTATGGCAGGGGGGGAATACATGCTGCTAAGTGAGCGCTGGCCCAGTGTGATTTAGAGAGTAAGTATATGTGTGTGCCCGTGTAAAATCCTCAACGCATGTGGTGGCACGTGTGACCAACCTGCCAGATCCGGCACTATTCTGGCAGTTAATGAGTCTCACTTTTACTATCGACTCCTTAAAGACGCGTCTATCTTTGTAGATCGACTAAGCAGCATGGTTCGTCTCGCTATTGTTTATGAAAATATGACCTGTTTGTTAACTGAGGCTGTTCCTCGACATTTTTCTTCGTCAACATGGTTTATGGATAGCCAACACACTAAAATCTGCGCTCTACAGAGAAAAATCTGCAAAATCTAAGATGCTTGACGACAGATTGGGTATGACATCACTGACTTTCCGCACACGGATGGTCAGACGAAACTCTTCAATCGCATTGTGGGAAAATTCATCTGAAGCACTTGCCTGAAAAGACCTCGACACTGGAGCGAGCCACTCCCACTCCTTCAGTTTGCGTCTAATAATATGATACGGGCCTCTACAGGCATTACCATATTCTACATTATGTTTGATGAGCCTTCAAAAGCCGACGACACCACCACGAAGTGGCTGAAGTTTTAGTAAGAGAGAGACTGTCAATCAACATTGGCTTGTTAATATAAGCCCGACGACACTTCTTAGCAGAAGTAGTGCGTTATCTTGAGCTTCATGGGCAGGATGCGCGAGGCTTTGGCGGAAAGCCAAGACAAAGACGCAACACACCGATGCCAGACAGGCGGAACACATACGAATATGTCACGGGGAAAATTCCCACTTGAGTATTAGATAAAAATGTTGAGATCAAGGGATTAAGCTGTGACGGCATTTCATCATCCCGTTCATAATCATAGCCAGAAAGGAATTCATTTACACCCTGCCCATTCCAAAAAGAATGCGAATGCACCCAGCCTTCTATGTGATTTACTGAAGCCACACCACGATCCCGCTTTTACAAATCTGTGGGCGTGAAGTACGCTATTGCAGACAAATCAATTTCTTTACCATTCCATATTATCCGCTTCAAATCAGTGACGCTTTGTTAAAACGCTGAGATAGTATCACGCCAGGTAGTGCGTTGACAAAGTATATTAGCGAATTTAAGATCGGATCCGGGTATGAGCGCACACCGCAGCATTCAGAGAGAGTCGACGTACCACCTCACTAGAGTGATTTTGTGAGTGCCAGACGCGGAAGGATCGTACTATGCCGGCACCTCTAGATCAGCAAAAGTTGGACCGATTTAATGTAAATGCTTGATGAGCGGTGTCAGAGCTGCAACCAGAACCTAAAGTAGTGGAAAGGTCCTCATTTACAAGACTCGTTGGGGGTCGTAGCTCTACTTTTGCAGGATTGCTGGGTACACACTAAGAGACTGGTAGATCTCTTTCACGGCCAAAGTGACCGGACAGCGGCCTATCATGCGTCTCATACACTATCTTGTACTTCAATTAATCGTTGTAGGGACCCTGAATCCGTGACTCGTCGTCCGCTCAAGGGTGCAGTCGCGGTGTAGGCCAGAGAGTGAAATGAAATTTAGGCGCAGTGGTTGCCTGGGTTGGACGTTTTTATGCTGTATCTTGAAATGAAAAATTATGTTAATTCACATCTTGTTGTGAACGGTGTGACAGGGCATGTACCCTAATCTTGTGCCTTAACCCTTTGTTGTTGTCCCTGCACTCAAAAGACTGCACGCTTAGCATCAGCGCTCCGACAGTGTATACCACATGCTCTTCCACCATGGCCTGGTCTATCGCTTTTAAAGGTATCTTGTCTCGCATTCTTAAAGCTGGCGAGCACCTATAGTCGAGTGATTTTCGCATCCGACCCTGCGGCTGCCAGTTTTCGGACTTTGTCAGGGTAAACAATAGACATGTTTCTATTAAGCTGGTCTAGTTATCCGTGAGGCAGGTATTCAGACATGTTATGTTTCAGTCTCGCAGAAAATACAGTTCATTTACGACTCAATCGTGGTATTGACTATGAGTGCTGCCAAGTACAACGGCGTTGCCTTGCGCTTTGCACTAAGGAGTCCTTGACTCAACAAAGTTGCAGTACCAAACGCACAGAAGTTGGGCTCATACACTACATCCTGAAGCAGATTCCAGAGCCTCTACCGTTTACTAGTAGTCTAGTTGACTGCTGCACATATAATGATATAACAATTGAATTAGACTCAAACCATTTATAATTTTTTTATCTTATATGATCAAATCATCGTCATCGTCCGTCGTCCACATACCTCTTCATTAAAGGGTTGATCATCTCCATATATACTGATACTTCGGAACAATGAATCTACACAATCACACCAAAGTACAACGTTAACTTCGGTAATGGATTGTATCAAAAGTGAAGGTATTGGTACCGCCCATGTTACGGAATTGTATCTCTCTCGTCCGTTTTAGTGCTAATCATGACATTTTAGCTAACTATACTTGATACTTTTGAGCTTCGTTTTAAGCTTGAGGACACAGTGGAAAGTGCATACATCAGAATTGGGTACGTGATTGTTACAATCAAGCTTTCAATACCGCCGACACAAGCGGTAAAAGTCTGCTGTCAAGCATTTGATATCTGTACAGGCGCTGCTTGGTTACGACGCTTTGTCCAAATACTAGGATGGCATACAGAATGCTATCATATTGCTCCATTTATTTAGCTACAAATTAAATTTCGTTGCGCATTGAATTAATAAAATAACCTGTTTGATAAAATGTACGTCCTGTTTATGAGGCTAGCAGTCCACCGTTGGCATCTGATGCCGCGGGTTGCTTAGCCAGTGTAAATAGAAGTCCACTTAAGCCAAACGCATATGGAATATCTTTGCGGGCAGTGCTCAGCTGCCAGCGCCCCACCTTTGTTTTCTTCCACCGTCGAAGTGCAAGTATACTTAGTACATAACATCGGGACTTCGTATTAGTCGTAAAATTATATGATTGCCATACTATTGTAGTGCTAAGCACCACCGCAGTAAATTTAAGAGCGAAGTATACTATCACGTAGATACTGCAGTTTTTCTTTAATCTACAATAATTACGTCGAGACACCTGGCTATTCTATCGCGTATGTTCTATTTCGATAACCTACATCAGTAATCAGTAACACTCTTGATGTTTACTCGCGCCAAGTCACCTGACGTGGATGCGCACGAATATTCTAAGACAAAGACCTCGCACCCTCGTAAGAGCGTTTAATTGATGAAGCAGAAGAAGCAATTTCACATTTTTAAATTTATCATTCTGCTATTTTCACTCGATCGAAACTTACAACCATGTTGCTCAGGGTTTGCAGTATTGTCGTGATGCTATTGACTACAGTATTTGCGACCGATACGAGGCATCTCACGGACTCGTCGCCACCAGCTTCTAATGGTGAAGTTCACATTACTCTTATAGCCGGTGTTGTGGCTGCAGCAGCCGTGGTGATTGTGGTGGTGGTGGTCGTCATTTTGGTCAATGTTTATCACTCAAGCGATGAAGTATTATCGAAGAACATCGACCTTCTTGAGGTCGTTATCTCGCCCAGTCACCCAAGTATACAGCCTACATCGGACAAGAAACAATTTGTCTATACGGCGCATATTTAACTGAACACTGGAGTCGCAACGCTTTATTCAACGCAGTTCTTCTCTGCATATTATTTACCACAAGCCACATTTAATATTAAATAAGGACACAAAATTATTTAGTCAAGACTTTTCGATACTATAAACATTTTCTCTTCTAATACTTAAGGCTTACTAATGCTTGCTTAAGATTATGCTCTTCTTTACAATACATCTGTCATTGAAGCTGCATGACATTGTCGTGGTTTTGAAAACTAAGAAAAGTAGTACTATTTTATCCAAAGATCTCAAATATTAATATACGAATATTACTTATCGATATATTGAATCCAGAAAAGAATTCTTCGGATATAGTATCAAAAAGAGACTCAATTTAAGGTGCAATACCTAATATTATTAGCGCACAAATTACGCATACAAAGCTTTCGTTTCGAACGCCTGTGCCTCCAGCATGTACTCAGTTGAGGGTGGTATATAGTCATTAGTCGAGTTGCTGTAGACACACTCTCGCGTCTCTAGTACAGCAGGACAAGTCGAGACACCAGCTCTAAACGGATCGTCTATCAAGCACCGTGTCCGTGTTTGCAAGCCGTAGTTGTCGCATCCAGTTGTCCAACTCGACCACGGCCCCATCGTACATGTTAATCCAACACACGAAGCTGTTTCGGACAATGGTGGACAAGCTGTACCACCATTCACTGCTGCCGTTACGACCTTGCGCGTGCGCGAGCGTGTTCCAGTCTTGCTAGCACACTTGGACCAGTCCGACCATGTGCTCACGGTACAAGCGACTGTCTTTGGTATTTTGCAAGCCGATGATTCTGTCAAACAAGGACACTCCATACCGCCAAACATTGGCTCGACTATAACCTTTCGAGAATGTGTTGACAATAGAGTAGTTGGGTTACACGATGACCAAGAGCTCCATGTACCAACTTGGCAATTGATCGGGTCGCACGGCGCAGTGTCACTAAGAGGTGCACAAGCTGTACCACCGTACAATGGACTAGTAGATACAGTACGTGTACGCGTCTTCAATCCAGTTGACATGTTGCAGGCACCAAAGCTGCTCCATTCACTTAATTTGCAATCGATAGGGTCACAGAAACCTTGCTCCGTTGTGCTTGGACACGCACTACCACCGTAAAGTGGCATAACCATGACCGTTCGTGTCCTGGTTTTGCTTCCAGAAACTGGATCACAAGCTGACCAAGGGCCGTAATCGTTCATAACACAATCAACACGGTCGCAAGGCGCAGAGTCAGTTGTGTCAGGACATGTTGTGCCACCGTACTTGTCTTGTTGTAAAATGTCCCGACGACGAGACTTGATACCAGTTCTTGAGTCACATGTTCCCCAGACGCTCCAATCGCTCACAATACAGTTCACTGGATCGCATGTGGCATTTTGAAGAAGTGCAGGACACGGGAGACCACCGTACAGTGGAGCTACGGTTATCAATCGAGATCGCGTTTTGACCCCCGCGACGTCATTGCATGGCCCATATTCACTCCAATTGCCGACTTGGCAGTTGACAGGCGTTGCAGTCTCATACTCTGTTGTAACGTCACAAGCAACGCCGCCACGAACAGCTGGCTGTAGAATCTTCCGGACTCGCGTACGGACACCCGTGACAGGATCGTAGTCACTCCACGCCCCCCACGAGTCAAGTGCACAATCGACTGGAGGACATGCCGCAGTCTCCGTTTGTGGTGGACAGGCCGTGCCACCATAAAGCGCAATCTGAGTTATCTCTCGCGTTCGGCTAGTCGTAGCGTCCGCATCTGTACAGGTGGTCCATTCAGTGAAGGGTCCAAGTGCACACGGCACTGGGTCACAGGGAGCAGTTTGAATGAGGTCCGGGCACTTACACCCACCATACAGATCGCCTTGTTTAACCGCTCTAACACGCGATTTCGTGCCCGTGACAGCGTCACAAGCTCCCCACTCTCCCCACTCATTAACTATACAGTCAACTGGATCACATCTCTTGGTCTGGACAGTCTCAGGACAACCTCTTCCTCCGTATAGTGGAGGCTGAAGCACGGGACGCGTCAGCTTGCGAAGTCCGGAATCCGGATTGCATGTTGACCAGGTCGCGTCCCATTCTCCCACAACACAGTCTACGGGATCACAGCTCACAATTTCTTCGAGGGCCGGACAGGCGGCTCCACCGTATTGTGCACGCTGAGAGACGGTGCGTTTGCGAGTCTTCTTGCCACAACTTGCATCACAGGACGACCAGGGACCCCAATCGCTTACAATGCAATTTATCGCTTCGCACGGTACTTCTTCGCGTGTGGCTCCACATGCTATACCGCCGTAAAGCGCTGGTTGTACCACTGAGCGAGAGCGGACGGAATTCTTGTCGCTGCCGTCAGGTTTGCATACACTCCAATTCGACCAGGGGCTCATGACGCAGTTCACCGGGTCACAAGTTGCAGACTCTTGCAAAACTGGACATACAGTGCCTCCATACTTTGGCTGTGTCGTGATCGTGCGCCTGTGCGTCTTAGTTTGTGTCGCAGCGTCACAGTCCTCCCATGGTTCCCACGGACTTACAACGCAGTGAACAGGATCGCACAACAGATCATTTGTGAGATCCGGACAGGCCGCGCCACCGTACAACGGCTCTGTAGTGATTGAGCGAGACTTCACCTTTTTGAAAGTCACAGCATCACAAGCGCCATAATCGCTCCACTCCCCAACCTTACAGTCCACTGGATCACAAGCGATTGTATCACTTAAAACTGGACACCCCGCACCACCGTGTCGCGATACTTGTGTGGCCGAACGTGTGCGTGTGCGCAGACCCGTACTTGGATCACAGAGGCCGTAGTCGCTCCATGGCCCCACTTCACAATTTATTGGGGAACAGGTTACGTCCTGACTGAGATCGGGACATGGCGTACCGTCATAGAGTGGCACCTGGGTGATGTTACGACTACGGTGCTGCTGAGGATCGTCGCTATCACAAGAAGTCCATTCCGACCACTCACTCACAGTACAGGAAACAGGATCGCATTTCTTCTCCTGGATTAAGGCCGGACAAGCCAAACCGCCGTACAATGACTCTTGACTAACCGTTCGAGTCTGTGTTCGCATGCCGGTAACGGCGTCACAGTCGGACCAGTCACTCCAAGCGGACACTACACAATTAACGGGCTCACACGGAGCTTCCGATACAAGCGCTGGGCATTCCGCACCACCGTAAAGTGGCTGTTGCACTACTGACCGTCGCTTGTAACGCTTACCACATGTGTGGTCACATGCGCTCCAGTCTCCCCAGTCTTTCTCAACTGCACAGTCTACTGGATCACAAGGTGCAATGTCTTCGAGAGCGTCACAAGCTGTGCCGTTTCGCTGCGGCGCACGCGTCATCAGACGCGAGCGGGACTTTGTACCGGTGTTAGAATCACAGGCTTGCCACGAGCTCCAAGTACCCACCTCGCAATTGACAGGAGGACATGTACGAGTTTGTGTTAGTAAGTCACATGCTGCACCACCACGGACTGCATCCTGAGTGACCGATCGCTCTCGAGTTTGTGTCGGTGTGTAGTCTGTACACTCGGTCCATTCGGTCCAGTCTGAAAGAACGCAGTCAATTGCAGGACATTCCACGTATTCGGCTAGCCATGGGCACTCAACCCCGCCAAACGCCGCAGGCACCAGTACGTCTCGAGTTCGCGTCGACGTGACGTCCGTTAAGCTACAGATCGACCATTCAGACCAGTTTCCGACAGAACAATCCACCGGAGGACATACCAGGGTGTCTATCAGGTCGGGACATGAAGCACCTCCACGCACAGCTGGCTGTATGATTGTTCGATTGCGCGTCTGGACGTTTGTGTCGGGGTTGCATGCATTCCAGTCGCTCCAGTCGCTTACGGTGCAGTTGATGGCTTCACACGGCTCTTCTTCTTTCAAAGGAGGACACAACAAAGTGGAAAAAAGAGCGTCGTCATCCAAGTTGCCACAAGTTGATGGAGGAGGCGGTTGTTGAATGATGCTACGCGTGCGAGAGCGCGTAGCTGTATCGGCCGTACAGAGAGACCAGTCGCTCCAATCGGTCACGACACACTTTTGACAACTGCGCGTCTGTACGAGCGGAGGGCAAGCTGTGCCACCGTTTGCGGCCTGTACGCGAATTGTCCGATTTCTTGCTTGAAGACCAGTAACGGGGTCACAGTCGCCATATGGCCCCCATGCAGACAAACCACAATTCACTGCAGCGCATTTCTTGGTCTCTTCAAGAGAAGGGCATGCTTTTCCTCCACCACGCGGTGTGGTTACGACGGTACGCGTGCGTCTGCGGTTCCCACTTGCGTCACAATTACCGAAGACAGACCATCCACTAACTTTACAATCGCGTGGAGGACACGCGTCTACCGAAGACAGTGCAGGGCACGCCCTACCGTTGCCCTTGGGCGTAACGACGATAGATCGACTTCTTGTTCTTGTCCACGTGGTCTCATCACACGGGCCGTAGTCGCCCCAGCACGACACTTGACAGTCCACACTCACTGTACAAGGTTTTGTTTCGATCAGATTCGGGCACTTGCGTCCACCATCTTGAGCTATCACTACAGAACGTGTTCGGGTTTTCTTGCCAATACTTGAGTCGCACGTGCTCCATGCACTCCAGTCGTCTACCTGACAGTCGACAGGCGTGCAGCTTTGCGTTTCTTTTAAGGGTGGACACGCTGCGCCTTTACCGTACCGTGGAACTGTCACTTGACGCTTGCGGGTACGCAGGAATGTACGACTGGAGCAACTTCCCCAGGGACTCCAATCTCCAACTTGGCAGTCAACGCTAGGTCGACAGCTGCGAGTCTGCTGTAGATCCGGACACATTTTTCCGTTTGGACCCGCGGCTTGTGTTATATTACGAGTGCGTCGTTGCGTGTTGGACGCTGGGTCGCATATTGAGTAGTCAGACCATTCGCTAACTTTGCAATCCACTCGCTTCGGGCAGCAAGCCGATGAGCCCTGCAAAGCTGGACAAGACTTGCCTCCATTTTGTGGCAGCGTGAGAACTGTCCGGTTGTGTACGCGAACCAGTCGATCAGGATCACACGTACCCCAATCACCCCAGTTAGACACTATACAGTCCACTTTTGGCACCTTACGCTCTTCCATAAGTGGCGGACATGCAGCGCCACCGTCAGGCTGCTGCAGCACGGTACGAAATCTACGCTCTTTTCCATTGCCTCCACCGTTGCCTCCGTTGGCACAAGACGTAAATGGTGACCAAGAGCTGACGACGCAGTCAGTTGGCTCGCAGACTGTGACTTCTTCAAGACTTGGACATACGGCACCTCCATATCTGGCTGGTGTAATGATGGAACGTCGGCGAGTACGCTTCTTTGCATTGCAGCCGCTCCAGGACGTCCATTCACTTACCTTGCAGTCCACCGGCTTGCAAACTTCTTCTTGTACGAGGCTGGGACATTCTGCTCCTCCAAAGGCACACGGAGTAGTTACAGTACGTTGACGAGTTCGCTTTCCAGTGACGAGCGAGCATTCGCTCCAAGTGCCCCAATTACTGACTTGGCACGGGACAGGAGCACACGCTACGGCTTCAATTAAAGCGGGACATGCTGTGCCACCGTCTTGCGGACTTGTCAGCACGATACGAGTGCGTGAACGTTGTTTTGTTGTCGGATTACAAGCTGAATAAGGCCCCCACTGGCCAACAACACAGTTCACTTTCTTCACAGGTACTGTCTCTTCCAAAGGTGGACATGCTTTTCCCCCGTCAGCGTCGCGCAAAATGGTTCTTCGTCGACATTTCGTGGCGCCACGAAGCTCGTAGGGACCCCAAGGACTCACTTGACAGTCAGTTGGATTGCAATTCTGTTGATCTACGAGTGGTGGGCACTCGGACCCGCCGTATTTGGCAGGTGTTTGGACTGTGCGAGTGCGTTGACGGATGTTTGACGCAGAGCATGTACCCCACGCGGACCAGTCGCTCACCTGACAAGCCATGGGCTCACATGGGGCCATATCTTCCAAGATCGGGCAGGCCGCACCATCTCCAAATGGCTGCTGTGTAATAGACCGCGTTCGTTTACGCGTAACT